CTGCAAATGGCAAATTTCTTTCTTTTTGATTGCCGAGTAATACTCCATTGTATCTATATCCCACATCTTCTTTAACATTCATCCATCGATGGACATTTGGGCTCTTTCCATACTTTGGCTATTGTTGATAGTGCTGCTATAAACATGGGGGTGCATGTGTCCCTTCAAAACAGCACACCTATATCCTGTGGATAAATGCCTAGTAGTTCAACTGCTGGGTCGTAGGGTAGTTCTATTTTTAGTTTTTTGAGGAACCTTCATACTGTTTTCCAGAGTGGCTTCACCTGCTTGCCTTCCCATTTATTTATTTATTTATTTATTTATTTATTTATTTATTTTTCCCCCCATTTATTTAAGAGACAGAGAAAGAGTATGAGTGGGAGAGGAGCAGAGAGGGAGACACAGAATCCGAAGTAGGCTCCAGGTTCTGAGCTATCAGCACAGAGCCCGAGGCCGGACTCAAACTCATGAACTGCGAGATTATGATCTGAGCCAAAGTTGGACACTTAACCGACTGAGCCATCCAGGTGACCCTGTATTACACCATTTATTAAAAACTGATATTTTCAACATAGATATTTTATTTATTATGCAAATAATAGATTAATAATTCTCATTGTAAAAGATTCAAACAATATAAAATAATGTAGATCAAAATATATGAAAGCCCAGCTTCACATATCTTCCTCACCCCCATCCCTGAGATAACTGGTATAGATATCCCATTTCCTTCCAGTTCTCTCTGTATGCATTTGTTTCTGTATACATGTACACATTTTAAAACTTTACAAATAAGATTGTGCCTGTTGCTTTTTTTTACTTATCAAATACAAGTTTTCTATAAGATAGGTGTGGCAGATTTTTTCTAAAAATGTCTTCCACAATATCTCCAACTCCACATGTTCTTTGGAACTGATAACTGCTTCAAATAATAGACAATAGCAGAAGTCACACGAGGTCAATAAAAGGTCATGCAGCTTCCATCTTGTTTTCATCAAACACTTGCTCTCAGCAGCTCCCTCTTGAGAGACTACCTTTTGGAATCCAGCTACCATGCTATGAGAAGACAAAGTCACTGAGAAGGGCCAGACACATGTAGGTGCTCCAGTCAACAGCCCCAGTATCCAAGTCATCTGAGACCATCTTCCAAATGTTTCCAGACCTCTGTCATTTGAGTTATTTCCCTCTCCCAACTGTTTGAATTTTCCTGGATTAGGAATCCTAGACATGACATAGAGGCAATTGGTCTCTACTGTGCCCTAATTCCTGAACCACAGAATCTGTGAACATAATAAAAGTTGTTATTTCATGTCACTAAATTTTGGGGTGATTTATTATATAGCAATATATAATGGAAATAAATTCCTGGGATTGGAACAGCTAAATCAAAAGATATGCTTATTTAAAAATTTTATTATAATGCCAAATTTCCTTTCACAAATAACTAACTCAAGAAGAAACAGAACAGGAGTACCTGGCTGGCCCATTTGGTAGAGCATGTGACTCTTGATCTCAGGGTTGTGGGTTCAACCTCCATGGTGGGTGTAGAGATTATTTAAAAATAAAATTAAAAAAAATTCTTTTTAAAACAAAATATTTAAAAAATAGGATAGAAGAAGAAATAACTGAATAAATTTATAGCAAGAGATTGAATTAGTAATTGAAAACCTAGCACAAAGAGGGGTGCCTGGTTGTCTCAGTTGGAAAGGCATAAGACTCAATCTCTGGGTCATGAGTTCAAACCCCCATGGGGACAGAAATTACTTAAATAAATAAAACTTAAAAACAACGACAACAACAACAACACTTTGCACAAAGAAAAACTCAGGCACAGATGGCTTCACTGGTAAATTCTACCAGTGTTTACAAAATTACCATCAATCCTTTGCAAACTCTTAGCAAACACAGAAGAGGGCCACTTCCCAACTTATTCTGTGAGGCCAGTGTTAGCCAAATACCAAAACCAGACAATGTCCTCACAGGTGAAGAAGACTACAGACCAATATACTTTATGAATACAGATGCAAAACTCTCAAAAAAATACTAGAAAACCAAATACAGCAGCATATGAAAGGATTGTACACTGTGACCAAATGAGATTTATCCCAGGAATACAAAAAATATGGTTCAACATATGAAAAATCAATGTAATACACCAAATTAATACAATAAAAGACAAAAAATACTTGATAATCTCAATAGATGCGGGAAAGGCATTTGACAAAATCCAACACCCTTTCATGAGAGAAACACTCAATAAACTTGGGATAGAAGGAAATTCCTGGAATATTATTCAGTCATATAAAAGAAGAAAATCCTGCTATTTGTAGCAACATGGATGAACTTGGAGGACATTACACTAAGTGAAATAAGCCAGACACAGAAAGACACATATTATATGTTCTGACTTATATGTGGAATCTAAAAAAGTTGAACTCCTAGAACCACAGAGTAGAAATCGTAGTTGCCAGGGAATGAGGGATAGTGGATGCAGATGTTGGTCAAAAGATACAAACTTTCAGGCATAAGATGAATAAATTCTGGGGATCTGCTATGCATCATGATGACTATAGTTAATATTACTATTTCAAATACTTGAAATTTGCCAAGAGAGTAGATATTAAGTATTCTCACTAGATAGACACACACACACACACACACACACACACACACACACACACGCTAATTATGCGATGTGATGGATGTATTAATTAACTTGATTGTGGTAATCATTTCTCAATGTATACATATACATTTTTTAAGTTTTTTCATGTTTATTTATTATTGAGAGACAGAGAGAGACAGAGCACAAGCAGGGGAGGGGCAGAGAGAGAAGGAGACACAGAATCCAAAGCAGGATCCAGGCTCTGAGCTGTCAGCACAGAGCCTGACATGGGGCTTGAACTCACAAACCGTGAGATCGTGACCTGAGCCGAAGTTGGAATTTTAACTGACTGAGCCACCCAGGCGCCCACAATGTATACATATATTAATTACTTTGTACACCCTAAACACATACAATTTTTTTTTGGTCAACTATACCTCAATAAAGCTGAAAAAAAAGGAAAATTCCTCAATCTGATAAAGGGCATCTATGAAAACCCACAGTTAACATTGTACTTACTGATAAAAAGACTAAAAATTTCCCTGTAAGATCACAAACAAGAAAAGAATGTCCAATCTTGGCATTTCTATTCAATAATGCACTGGAGATTCTATCCAAGGCAAACAGGCAAGTCTTCCTCAGAAAGGAAGAAGTAAAATTCTCTATTTGTAAATGATATGAACATGGTATGTGTCAAGAAAAATCCTAAGGAATCTACTGAAAAAAGTATTCGAACTAATAAATGAGTTCAAAAAGGTTGTAGGATACAAGATCAATATATAAAAAACAATTGTATCTCTATGCACTAATAGTGAATAATTTGAAAATGAAATTAAGAAAATCTCATTTACAATAGCACTAAGAAGAATGAAATATTTATGGATAAAGTTAACCAAAGAAGTGTGAAGCTTGCACACTGAAAACTACTAAGATACCATTGAAAGAAATTAAAGAAGACCTAAAAAAGTGGAAAGACATTTCATATTCATGGGTTGTAAGATGGCAATAGTCATAAACTGATCTAAGATATAACAATTCTTACAAAAATCTCAGCTTCCTTTTCTGCAGAAATGGAAATGCTAAGGAACCCAAAATAGCCAAGACAATTTTAGAAGAGAACAAAATTGGAGGACTCACATTTCTCAATTTCAAAACTTACCACAAAGCTACAGTGACAATCAAGGCTGTATGATACTGTCATAAGGATAGACAGATCACTGGAGTTGAAATGAGAATCCAGAAAGTGGGCAATTGATTTTTGAAAAAAGGTGCCAAAACAATTCAAAGGGGAAGAATAATATTTTCAGGAAATGTTGCTAAGACAACTGGTTTTCCACATGCAAAAGAATGGGGTTGAATCCCTACTTCACACCACATATAAAAATTAACTCAAAATGGATCATATACCTAAATGTCAGAACTAAAACTGTAATACTTTTGGAAGAAAGCATAGGAGTAAATATTTTCTTTTTTTTAATGTTTATTTTTGAGAGTGAGAGTGCACATGCATGAGCTGGGGAGGGGCAGAGAGAGGAAAACAGAGGATCTGAAGCAGGCTCTGTGCTGACAGCACATGGCCCAATGTGGGGCTTGAACTAACAAACCAAGGCAGGGCTCAAACTAACAAACCAGTGCAGGGCTTGAACCAACAGTGACATCATGACCTGAACCAAAATTGGTTGCTTAATGGATTGAGCCACCCATGTGCCCCAGGAGTAAATATTTATGAACTTTGATTAGGTGGTTACTTTGATATGATAACAAAAGCACAGGGGATAAAAAGACAAAAGTAGATAAATGGGACTTCATACAATTTCAAAAACTGGTTTTGCATCAAAGGACAGCATCAAGGGGTGCCAGAGTGGCTTAGTCAGTTAAGCTTTTGACTCTTGATCTCAGCTCAGATCTTGATTTCAGGGTTGTGAGTTCAAGCCCCACATTGTGCTCTGCGCTGGGCTTGAAGCCTACTTAAACACACACACACACACACACACACACACACACACACACACACCCCAAAAGACAGCATTAAAAATATGAAAAGACAAACTACAGACATAAAATATTTACAAACCATATATCTGATAAGGGAATTATGCCCTGTATGCAGAATATGTAAAGTGTTATGACTCAATAATAAAAGGTCACACAGTTCAAAAATAGGCAAAATATGTGAATAGACATATCTCCAAGGAATATATGCAAACAGCCAATAAGATATGCAACATTATTACTCATCAGAGAAACGCAAATAAAAACCAAAATGAGATAATGCTTCATACTCACTAGGATGGCTATAATCAAAGAAGCCAACAATAAGTGTTGATGAGAATGTAGAGAAATTTGCTAGTGGGAATGTAAAACTTGTGCATCCATTCTAAAAAACATTTGTGTCCTTCAAAAAGTTAAGCATAGAGTTGCCATGTGGCCAAACAATTCCATCCTAAGTATATACCCAAGAGAAATGAAAACATACATCCACACAAAATGTTGTACACAAATACTCATAGCATCATTATTCATAATAGTCCAAAGGTAGAACCATCCCAAATGTTGATCAACTGAAGAATGGATAAACAAAATGTGATATATCCATACAATTGAATATTTGGCCTTTTAGAAAAAGCAATGAAATACTGATGCATGGCACAACCTAGATGAAGCTTAAAGCCATTATGCTAAGTGAAAGAAACTAGGTATAAAAAGTCACATATTGTATAATTCTATTTATGTGAAATAATGTCCAGAATAGGTAAAGCCATAGAGATAGAAAGTAGGTTAGTGGTTGGTACAGCTGATGAGATGAGAAGGGGAAATGGGGAGTGACTGCTAATGGTTATGGGGTTTCTTTTTGGGATGATGAAAATGTTCTGGAATTCAGTAGTGGTGATGGTTGCACAATTTTGTGAAGGAATTAAAAAGCAATGCATTGTACACTTAATTTTTTTTTAGACCTAATGTATTTTTTACCTGAATAAACCAAATTCCTTTTTTTCCCAGCCTTTTGCACATGCTCTTTCCTCTTCGAGGAACACTCTTCTCCATACCTTTCCCTACTCCTAATCCCATGTAAGAAATGTAGTCTGCAGAGCTCCAGCCTCATCACCACATAGGACAAGAGTGTTTGAAACAAGATAGTAACTTAAAAAATGGCACACCTACCACTTGATTTTTTTTTTTCCCTATGAGGATTGATCTATTCAGCTTTTCATCTTGAGCCTATTTTGAGTCTGTCCCTTTTGCTATTTCTCTTTATATTTCTAAACAACTATTTAGGATTACATTCAGCTGCATGTAACAGGAGACCTAAAATAAAAATAACTTAAACAAGATATTTTATCATCTGAAAGAAGTCCAGACGTAGGTTGTCAGAGATGGAACACTGAAAAAGTTTGTCAAGAACTCAGGCTCTATTTTGTAGCTTTGTAATGCTCAGCAAATCATCCCGCATCTTTATGGTCCAAGAGCCCTGTTTGATCTCTAGTCATCATGCCCATTTCCAGCTATAAGAAGGAGAAAGGGAAGGAAGAAGACATGGCCTCTTCAAAGGCACTGGAAATAGCTCATCCCGCCATCTAGAACTTAATCATGTGGCCACACTTACAAGGGAGGCTGGGCTGGGAGATGTATTTTCTTCTTCTTCGTCTTCTTTTTTTAGATGTTTTTTGAGCAGTCATATGTCCAGCTAAAAGTTGGGGATTCTAAGAAAAAGTCAGAGAATAATATCAGGGACAATTGTTAATCTCTGCCACACAGATGAATAATGCTATGGATCTGCCCATTTTATTAACTTGTTTTTTGCATTTTAATATAGTATTATTACCTGTGTCTGGTATCCACCAGTCCATAGCCCCAACTTCTTTCTGCAGATGGTAAACCTTCTGTTTTCTGCTGAATTTAAGTCCAGTCACGTGGCGGTGTAAGGTAAGGGGAGTGGACAAAGGCAGCTACTCCTTTTAAAGACTCCAGTAAACTCATGTTTTCCACCCTGCTCCTCACTCCCACCCTTAAAAGAAACCAGTGCCCCAACTTCTGAGCCTTCCCTTAGACCTGCGGTATTAAGTTATGGTTAGCTCTCTGCTGCACCGCAGGGGCTTAGCAGAACAGACAAAGCTAAAACCCCGCCAATTGGTCACCTATCTGCTTTCCTTCTCTCAACATAAGATACTTATCATATGCCATTAACCTTTATGGAGTTATAACTTTTTTATTTTTAGAATGGAGTGTGGGGAAGACACTTGATCACATGCACACAAAATATGACTTCCATTGTTACTACCAGGTCATGACGACTTCAGTTAATCTTGTGTCTCTTTCTACAGTTGCTAAAGTAAAAATATCATGTCAATGGTTTTTGGGACTTTCATTACCTTCTACTGGTTCAAATCAAACAGGAAACCTGTATTCAGGGCTTTAGCAGTTGTCAGTGGCATTTAGTTCCCCCACAAACACATCCTTGACAACAGCCACAGTTCATGGAGAGATTCTTCTGATGAGTACTGTTTAAGTACCTTCGTTTAAGTAGATTATTGTAAACTTCTCAATCACTCCACGAGATAGGCATCAGTCATAATTCTTATTTACAGATGTAGAAAACAAGGCTCAGGGTTGAATTATTTGCCCAGCCACACAGCTAATAAAGGGGTATCTTTCTCCAACTGTTTCACATGCATGGTCTATTTGTTCAATGTTAGGGACTTGCAAACCATGTTTTGAATGTGATTTGTCTCTCATGGTTGTTTTAAGGGTTTACAGACTATGTAAGCCCTGAAACCAGATGCTCCAACCTGCCAGTACCTACCATGCCTTTGGTTTTGCTCTCACCTGTGATTAGCTCCCTCCTGCAGGCCTGAATTTTGGCATCTAGTCCTGTTTGTTACCACAGTGCTAAAGCTCAGCAGAGCACCTGACAACACACATTTACGAATTGTTGACAGGTTCTTAGTCCAGCCAGGTCACATCAGTCACAGCAATCCTTGCCATAGAACAGAAGTATCTTGGATTCAACCTTACCCAAGTTGCTTCTAAATAAATATTCCAAAATCACAGAACAACTTTCATTGTACATGCAAACATCCATTCTAGTTTTTCACATCCTCAACTTCAGTATTCTGACTAGATCCAGGAAGCACGGTCATCCCTGTTCTCATTTCTTCACTTACGTAATATTTAATGCTTACTTACTTGACAAGTACTATCGGATGCTGGGCACTGAGGGGGGGGGGTGTGAATAAGTGAAAAAGGAAGATTTAGCTAAAAAATCAATCACACAGGTCCCTCCAGCAGAAAGGTCTTAAGTAGTTTTACTTGAATTTAAAGACTACTCCGGCTGTTAATAGACACTGGTGGCATGAATTAGAGTTGGAGTTGAAATGGACAGAACTTGACCCATCAGATGTGAGGGCTGAAGGGAGGGGAGCTGAAACTTTCCAGGGAGGGTAGATGGCACTACTATTTCATGAAGAGAAATGATTGCAGTTTTTGAGCATTTGGAGAAGTTTGAAGTACATGTGAGCCAAACAACAGCCAAAGTGGTCCAGACAAAAAAAAAGAGGAATAGGCCTTTCAATGGTATTCAAAATGCCAGGGGGAAAACTGGAAGGACTAGGACAAGGACTGGAGCCAGAAGCAACTCCAGTGCTTATAGGTTATTAGCATACAACAACCAATGCAACAATAGTCATTGCTTCTCTAAGTTAACAAGGAATCTCATGAAATTTTATTCAACTTCAAGGGTACAGACAAGAAGCCAATTTCACAGTTAACACAAATAATGCAGCAATGGAATTACTGGTTTGGATGGCTGGACTGGAGGTGGTCCAACAACTATCTGTAGTATCAGCTATCCAGTTTTCTCCGCTCTTCAACTGTTTGCCATGCCGGGGTCCGTTACTCCTAACTAAAATGGAAATGAGGTGTATTTACAGAGAAAATATTCTTAAGATGCCAGAGAACACAAAACAGATTTTTGAAGTAATAGAGGCTGCAGTCTGTAATGGGTCACACAATAGGTTTACCTCTAAGTCAAGTGTTTAAACACAGCCTTCGAAATTTTAACTAAAAAAGAAAAAAAAAAAAAGGTTTAAACTTTTTTCCCTTCAGTATTGTAAAATGGTCACACAGACCAGAAACTCCTGAAATGGAACAGCTCAACTGTATCTGATAACTTTGTAACACCCCAAATTCACTGTATACACTTAATGCATAGTTCCCAAGCCTGCACTAATACAACCATAAACATTCTGATCATAGTTTGAACAAGGTCTTGGTCCCTCTAGACAGTCTACAAAACAAAGGACTTGGCAGATTTTTTACTAGTGTTTCCTCTAGGGCACTACAAACAGTTGAGCTTTTAATTTATATAAGGTTTTTAAAAGTTACTAAATTGACAGTGACTGAGTGCATCTGTAAAGTATCCTCATCCTTTTTTCAATTATTGGGAGAGAGGAGACTATAATTCTAAAGAAAAAAATATAAATGCATGGAAATCAAAAAGGTTGGATTTGATATGGCTGCTAATTGCCCAGTTAAAACGGGGGGGGGGGGGGGGGAAGTAGGGAAGGAAAGGGGGTTGGGAAACCTTTCTGATCCACACCAAGTTTCGTAGTTATGTATAACTGTATGGGTAAGACTGGGTTTAGGTCAGGGGTGCCTGGGTGGCCCAGTTGGTCAAGAGGCTGACTCTTCATTTTCAGGTCAGGTCATGATCTCACGGTTTGTGAGATTGAGCCCCACGTCAGGCTCAATGCGTGGACAATGTGGAGCCTGCTTGAGATCCTCTCTCTCAAAGTAAATAAAAATAAAACATTAAAAAAAAAAAAAAAAAGATTGGGTTTTGCTCATATCCACTGCAATTCGTTTTTAAACAGAAGCCAATTATAAATTCATTATTTTGAAGTCAAAAGTACTTATCACACCTACTAGAGTCCACCTAAATAAAGCCCACTGAACAACCTATTATTTAATATTTTAAACCTTTAGGCCTCAGTAAGCTGATAAACAGAAACACTTTATATCAATACTAAAGGACTACTTACTACTTTACATAAAAAAAATCATAGCAAGGCAATTTACCAGAACTCTCACAAATGCTTTACCTATTTTACATGGCACCTGTAAATAGCATCTGAGGAAAATTTTTACAAAGGTCATTCAGTAGTCCAAGTAATACTGCACACTAAAATTTTGGCATGTTACACTTAAAGCCAACCAACAGTTGTCATTTCCTGAATCTCCTGTAGTTTCATCAGTAAAATTTCAATACCATTATCTAAGCGTTATGCCTAGCAACTTTAATTATAAACTGCTACACAGGATTTTAATTCATTTTTATAGATTAGAATTCCAAATGATTCTACTTACGATACAGTTACAATCAACAATCTGTTAAAATCTTCAAAACCAATGGGAAATGATTAAAATACTGCCTCAGGATATGGATACACATAAAGATATATCTGCCAATGAAAATGTTTATCTTTAGGTCCCCTCCCCTTTAAAAAGATACATTAGGTCACAATAGGGGTGATACCACCCGAGAAGGGCTCCCCCCCAATCACCCTTATTCTTTTTCATGTACAACGCAGATACATCTCTTAGTCACACGCATTTCCTCTCCCCACCATCACTATGCTATGTCAAAATTTCCTGTGGCATTTTTGTATTTGGAGTTTTCGTAAGAACAAACAAGTATCTCTAGGATAATACTCCCAGAATAATTAAGAAACTTAGGATCAGCTCTAAACATTTAATTATGGCACTTAAAAGACGACTTATCCTTGGAAACTGACACCAAGTTAGGAAAATCAGCTAACATTATCCAATTATAATTACAAGTACAATTTTAACATCTAGATTAAGCAGTAAATATTTGAGGCCATAGGTGGGCATTGGCAGCCAAGTTCCAAAATTCCACTTATAATTCAAAATGAAAATCTGTAGTCTTTAGGAAGCATTCCCTTTCTTTATACTATCACAGGTGACTTATCCATTTACTATAACACTGTAGTAAGTAAATACTACTTTGTCATTATGAAGAAAAAAACTATGATCAGACAAAGATCATAATGTAGTTCTGGAAGACTACACACTCTTTCACTATACACAGTATATAATAAAATAGGGTACACTTTGTACGACAGTAACATGCAATGGTTTGGCTATAGAAATATTAATGTCGTTTCCGCTACACTGGAATTCTGTGTGGGTGTTACAGTTAGGGAATCATAGGATGAAAAGGACGATTATTAAATGCTTGCACAGTAGAGACGTTGTCTGAACGCGTAACGTACAGCTATTCCTAGGTATAAACATGGAATACACACACAAAAAAAACAACAAAAAACTAAAGAAGACTGACCTATAACCTAGGTGTAAGGATGGACTTTATTATTTTTGAAAAAAAGTCTTTTGAGGACTACAAATTACAAAGTAAAAGCAGATCACTATGTAGAAACCTAGTGAATATTTTGCCTGTGCATTAAAACTATCAAAGTTATTCCTTTAACAATTTCACCCCATTCATAATGGTATCAGTTATGTTCTTCATAAGGTCACTACACCTTTACTTCAAATTATATTACACATATTCCCTCAAGATGAACTTTAAACACCGAATTCTTGGCTCCTAAGAACGGCACCTTTGAAAGGGGCAATTTCCATTCAGTCTGGTGGCATCATTCTAAGTTGGTTTCTTTTCCCAACAAAAAAAAAAAAACCCTTTCAAAATGTTCACTTTATTAATATGAAGTCTCTCCACCAAAGTGGTGGTCATTTTTTTGTTTTCTAATGACTACATATATATATATATTATATTTACATATATAATATATATATATATAACATATATATAATATATATATGGGTAGCAGCAGAAAAGAAAGATGGAAATTAAAAGGCAGCCATTGAAATAAATGGATCAATTGTATATAAGAGATATTTGGCTCATGGCAATTTAAAAAGATGGAAACTAGGGTATGTTAATAGCCAGATGCTTGAGTTATTTAAAAGGATGTCAAGAGAATGAAGTTGATCCAACATGATCAAGTGGGAATGTATCATCATTGCACTTCATTCTTTACAACAAATACTCTAAGGCAAGAGGAAATGAGTTACATTTAGAGTCTCAGAACATGCTGACCACTTAATATTTAACAACTTCCTGGGATTTGATAGTCACTTTCTTTACTCATACTATTTTTATTTTTTTAAAAAAGTAATCTCTGCACCCAATGTGAGGCTCGAATCCATGGTGAGATTAAGATTCACATGCTCTCTTCTAACTG